CACAATACCCCTGAGCTTCCAGGGAATTCAACTGGAGGTCAAGCCAGAGCCCTTCCATCCCTTTGACGGCTGCATTATTTGTCCCCTTTGGACATGTGATAGCATATAATCACAAAATAACTGAATGACAAGTAATTGAGCATCAAAGATAGAATCAGGTTTTTCTTTTCCTTTTTAATTTACAATGAACTTTAAACAATAAAGAATGGGTGGACCTGTACCTATAGAATTCAATACCACCTCTCCTGGAGATATATTTTTTTTTCCCTGGGTTTGTTTATTTTTAAGGCTCAATTTTTAAAGACGGTTATTTAATATAGTCCTTATATACATTCATTTCCCCCCCTACTTTTATCAATATTTCTGCCCAACATTCTTACCAGTAAGCAGACTAATTACTTGCCTATAAGGTATGATTTGAGTAGTACTGAAAAAAATCCCTATCTTTATAAATATTTCCTCTGGCAGTTTCACTTTATACCTGTAATCTCCCCAACTCTTTCTCTAAGGAATTAAACAGCCATAATAGACTGCAACAATAACAGTAATAATAATAATAACCACATCTAGAGAATTAAACCATCATGAGCTATTAACACTTTTGAATTAATTAGCTTATGAGCCAGAGGTTAAATTGGGTCAAATGGGGCAGGAATTCAGAAGGGTCCTTCAAAGCAAACCGGGATGTTATCAAGGGCCCATCCTAAATTCAGGGCCCTGATAGAACATTCAAAAGCACCCATGTAGGCAGTTAAAGGGGTAGGAATTTGGAGGAAACAACCCAAAAAGCATATTCCCCTTAATTTTAAGCACAAGGAAATTGAACATGGTAAAGTTTAAACTTTATAAACAAAGTAAAGTTTAAACACAAAGAAAACTGAACGAAGTTAGGTTAGCACCACAGAGGGGCACCTGGGTGGCTCAATCATTAGGCATCTGCCTTAGGCTCAGGTCATGATCCCAGGGTCCTGGGATCAAGTCCTCCATGAGGCTCCCTGCTCCTGCTCCACAGGGAGCCTGCTTCTACCTCTCCCACTCCCCCTACTCATGTTCGTTCTCTCTCTCTCTCTCTCTCTCTCTCGCTGCCAAATAAATAAATAAAATCTTAAAAAAAAAAAAAAGCACCACAGAAATGGCCCAACATGGCCCAGCTAAAAGCAACTAAGAGTGCTTAAATATCCGTCCCACTACTGAACCGTAAGTGTTCCATTTCTCCCCTTTGAAATATAAAAATCCATTAGTTTTAAGCAAAAGGTTAGATCCTTGCTTTGTATTCTTAAAAATTTTTTTTGACTCTTCCATTAAGAGCAACTTTTCATGCAAATGAATTCCTGGTTTAATTGAAAATCATTAAATAACTTTTCTACATCTAAAATCCTTCTCCTGTTAGGTATGAGTAATTATGTTACATCACACACAGAAAATAAACAACAAAGACCCTACTCACATTTGAGAATCATTTACCATTCCCACTCCTCAAGCTCCCCCAAATGGGAAATGGAATAACAAGACTGATCATAATTGGATTAAGAACTATAACTCTTTAATTCATTCATCAAATTGAGGCATTTGGAACAGTTTATTTACAGAGTTGTTTAGACAGTTTTGTGTGGTGTTTTTTAAGATAAACCAAAATGCCTTTCTGAAAGAAGTTTCAGATCCCAAATCATTAACATATGAAAACCAAATGTAGACAATTTACAAATTGGTGTTTTAAACAATGTTTGGAACAAAATTGGACTTTTATTTTATTAACTATCTACAAATCTAGGTTCAGGATATAGTTTATTTGAAACAGCCAAGCATTTTCTTCGCCTTTAAAATAAGCCTACATTTCTCAGGCTAAAAAAATTGTGACGAGTGTGTGAGGGAATGCATTGACTTTAGGCCTAGACAAGTAAATTTTCTAGGTTTCTCTCAAAACTCTAATTATAGCATTTTCTACCACTGCAGGTGATTAGATATTGGGTAGAACATTCAGGGTATGCCAATCAATCACATCACAATTTTACCTGATGGAAATCTAAATAGTGTTCAACCTTAGAACTCTGAGTTATTTGAAATCCTGTGTACTTTAGGAGATCACTAAAAACAAGTTTTATCCTGCCCTATATATTGCTTCTTTATACAATCTGAACATGACTTCAAAACAATGACTGCCTATCACTTAGTAAATGAGTAGTGTTTTTTCAAGAAGACACTATGCTTTTTTAATCATAGTTTTCATTTGCTTTAAAAAAAATTATTCAAGCATTCAAACCCATTCTTTTAACTGGAAAATGAAATTTTAAACTTTCCCTATAGCTCATGTCCTACTCCCCAGAAGGACCCCCCCCAAAAAAGCCATCATACCTGAGTATAAACTTCACTCTTTTGTTATTTACTATTTACTCCAAACACTCCACAGATAACATCTTTATAAGCACATATTCATTTTTTTTCTTTCACAAAGTCATGTGTCAGTCTAAACAGGATGTGCATTTACATGTATAGAACTAAGTTAACTTGAAATAACCACTGCATCTCAAATGCCTGGTTATTTACCAAATAAGTTTGAGAGTTTTGAACGCTGTATATAACATGCCATTCAACCAGAACTGTTTAAGCTCAACAACAAAACTAATACAGAGTTTCTCTGTTAAGAGTTAAAGCTCTTTTTTTCTGTACTAAGTTTACTCTTTCAAGTCTATCTCAGATTGATTCAATATTGCCCATTCAAAAAGGCTACAAAAAGGGATTTTTTTAAAAACCCACAAGCAAACAAAAATCTCTATTAATTCTTCATGTACAAGATTGTTAGAAGACCACTGGAAAGAAAAAAAAATTTTCAAGCAAGTATGCTACTATATAATTAACACAAATAACTAAATAATTATGCACATCCCTTCCCACCCCCACAATTAAATGTTTTTAAACAACTCATGTGATGAAAGATCTACCTTTTAGGCAAACAAAAGCAATCCCTACTAGTCTGAGGATTTAAAGCTGTATTGCATCAGTTTTAAGTGATGCTTATGATTTTTATCTAACACAGTTCTGAGGAATAAACAGTTGATGACATAATTTGCAGGAGAACTTTGCACAATGCCTAAGAGAACTTTCAGTGTAAGTACTTTTGATTTTAAGTCATTGTGACTGAATTTATCTAGGCTTCAGCCTGGAAGCTATATTTAAATCGGGAAGAAGCACCCCCCAGAAACTTTGTCCCATGTATCTACATTTGAAACCAGATTCTTTCCCTATCAGAGCTAACAACAGTTCACATACAGCTGAATTCCTTCAAAATTAGATCAAAATTTTGCAGTTCTGTAAAGACTCTAAGAAATCATCCTCCTTTTCCGTTCTGTAAAAGTCAAACTTAAAAAACATTTCTGTATACTTTAAAACCATCTGGCCCTTAACCTAATCACTCTTGGCAATCGAGCCTCACTCCTATAATCCTGATCAAAAACTCTGCTGTGTTTTCTTCTGATTGAAATGTCCACTGCCTACAAATCTCCCACGCGCCTACCTCATTGGCCTGTTTTGTTTGCGTGGCCTTTTTTTTTTTTTCTTTTCTTTTCTTTTTTTTTAAGGATACTAGAGGCCATTATTTATGAGCAGCAAGGAAACAAATCACTCTGTCTAGTCCCTTTGCAGATTCCCACACTTATTACCCAAAATCCCACAGATCTCCCTTGGTCTTGCCCTGGACTGAAGAATTGTGCTGAGCCTCAAGGCAGTCTCTGGGGAAATCGGCTCATGCCTTTCTTGACAAACTACTTTGGATATCTGGATATTGTGAGGCTCTCAAGTGGGTTAAAACAAATCCCCTAAACTTTTCTGAAGAAGTACAGTTGACTGCCACCCAGAGTGCCTGGGTTGGCTGACACTGAGACTATGGCTCTGCATACTCATAGAATTCCTTATTTTGACCTGCTTTAGTTGAGAAGGGAAGACATCAAAATGAATTCACATGCACCGCACTCTGATTTTCGTCACGGGGGCCAGCGTCTTCAGACAGTCACCAGGGTCAATCTATATATTAATATATTCGCTTTGCAAGGTGTACGGAAAATGACTATTAAAATATGTCAAAGTCCTCCCTGTGCACCCGATGCCAGCAGATCAATACTCAAGAAACTGCTACTATCAAACACAAACATTTCCAGACCCAGCCTGATTTCAAGTCGTATAACCTCTTTTCCTGGCTGATGACCGTAACCCAAAGTGCAAGCGAGATTTCCCAAACCCGCGCTTAGAGTGACACAACACGTGAGCGGTTTCGCTTCGTACACTGAGGGGGGTGGGGGGGGGGAAAGTAGTTGCAAGGAAAATTAAAGCTTCCGGTCTCTGGAATCCCTAGAATTCTAGAGGATGAGACTCGTCTCCGAAAATTCCGGGCGGGAGAGAGGAGAACGAGTAGGGAGAGGGATTGCAGAAAGCGAAACAAAAAGACGAAAAGGGGGGATATTAAGATTGCGGGGTGGGCTGGGGGCCACGGTTATATTGTAGGAAGGGTGAAGAGCTTTGTCCAACTTTGAGGGTCTGCGGCTGGAGCGGGAGCCGAGATGCACAGGCTCGCCCCGGCTTTCCCCTGCACTCCTGCCCTCATCTCGCATCACCACCTCCACCGCCACCACTTCCAAAACAATACCGGCAGCGGCGCGCAGGCTCCCCAACACATCTCCAAAGTTATCCCATTTCCTGAACGGGGGCCAAGCCCACGCTCCGGGGTCCCCCCCCCCCACGGCCGGCCGCCCCCCGAGGATGACAGGGCCACCTCGAGTCTCGAGCAGCCTCCCGCCTCCCCCTCACCCCCAGCCCAGTCCCCCTCCCTCCGTACTTGAGGAAACTCCGGTGGCGGCCCCCTCCCTCCTCAGCCGGCTCTCCAGCTGGAGCCGGGAGCGAGTGCTGAGTGGCGGGCACGGCGAGCGGCTGAGGGGAGCTCTGCGCCTTGGAGGTCTGCCCACAACAACATCGGGACGAACAACAAAGTTAAAACGCTGCGATTCACGCACCTTACCGGGTCTCCTTAATGTCTCCTCTGGCGTGGGATGCAAAGTGGCACAGTGGCGGGCTGGGGGCCCCCGGGAGGAGACTGGAGATGGGTTTTGGTGGCTCGCCTTTTTCACTCCGTGTGTGTGTGTGTGTGTGTGTGTGTGTGTGTGTCTGTGTGTGTGTGTGTCTGTGTGTGTGCGCGCGCGCGTGTCCCTCTTCCCCCCGGCTCTCGCTCGCTCGCTCTCGCTCCCCGTGTGGCTCTCAAGGACGAGGTGAAATCCCTTTGCTGGTCATGAGGCGGCTTCAGAGACAAACAACACAATGCGAGTGCAAATAACAAAAGGCAAAAAGACAGTAGGAACAATGGGGGAGGCGAGGGCAGCGCACCAGCCGGCGGTCACCGCGGCCCGGCGCCCGCCCCGGGGGGTGCGGCGGGGGCGGGCGCGGGGGCGGCGCCGGGGGCTCCGACTCCCTCCAGGTCTCACCCGAGCTCCCGTAAACCCACCCTGACCTCCTTCCTGCCGCTCGCCGCCTGGCCGCCCTCTCTGTCCATCCGAAGCAAAGGAGCCCCAGAGTTTGCTTCCCCGTCTGCTGCAGAGTAACTAGATTGTAAATAACGCGGTGATTAACCACACGGTGCAGGAATGTTTAAAAAAAAAATCTGCCCTCCACTTACAGGAGCGATAAAATGGAATGGCAGGAGTGGAAGGAGGCAAGGAGAGTGGGCTATCTCCGGATCTCGGCGGAGCTCGCATCTATAAATACGCATTCCTGTTTAGTCAGGTCCCCTTTGTCAACTTCTTCCCTGCGCTGGAACCTCACCCGCTGCCCTGGAACCATTACCTGGGTCCCTGCTTGCCCCTCACCCCCGTTTGCACACAGTAAAGCTCGCACGGGGGGTGCGTGTGGGGGTCTGCGGGCGTCCGCGGAACCTTCTGGGAGGCGAGCCGCCGTTTGCCCGGCGCGAAGGCTGGAGCCGCGAGAGGTTCGGTATTTAAAGCGACCAGTACCTCCCCAGCCCGGCTGTGCGCCCGCGGGTCCCGCCGCCGGCACTTTGAGCCCACCTACTCCTTGGGGTGCGGGGGGAGAAAAGTTTTGAGGCGCTCTCACCTCTGCCTCCGGGTGGTTGAACTGGTTTTGTTTTGTGGGGGTGAACCCAAGTGACCTGATGCCCAAGAACCAAAGAATGATGTTTAGCGGGGGAAAGGCTGGGCGCTGGGCTTTGGAGTCCAGCGACACTGGAGACAGCGCGTGAAGGCAAGAGAGGGAGAGACCCTCAGTGACATCACCACGGGAAGAAACTCTGTAGGTAATGCTCGGGGCCGAAGCTGTGGGGCTGATTTAAGTGTGTGCTCTGACAGCTCCCAGGCTGCTGCGGCGCTTATCTCTTCCAATCTTACTTTCATTGACTTAGAACAGCTGCCGGTTGCCAGGGGTAAAAAAAAGAGGGGGGGGGCGGAGGGGAGAAAAAAAAAGGAAAAAAAGAAAAGAAAAAAGAAGAACCCTATTAAATCTCACACTAGGGTGGACGGGGGGCGGGGGGACTCTGGGGTCCCGAATGATCTTCCTAGAACTGGCGTCCAAGAAGGGAGATGTCACGAGGGAGGCAGCGGGTAAGAGATTAAGGCACAGTACGAGCAACACGTTTCTTTTTCTCGCTCTTCCCTTCCTCTTCTCTAGCCGATTTGCATATTCTCTTTCCTCCTCTCGCTGCTTTTCTTCAGATGCGCATCCATTGACAAAGCCGCATCCCTGGGCACCCCCCAGCATTTCCCAGAGTGCAACAACACCACCAGGAGATCAATGACCACAGTCTGTTTATTCTTCACGCGCCTGGAAGAGCAGGGCACTGAAGCAGCATGGGAGGGAGGCTTACGGCTTGCCTGTCTGTGCGGTCTCTCTCAGACTTTTTCTGGCTGGTTTCTAAATGGCAGCTAGTAAGCAAATACAGTTTCTTAATGCACGCAACACACACCAATCACAATATATTCACCTAGAGAAGTGATATACCCTTTCTCCGTTTCCACCCTTCCTAGATTTGTTTCTGGAGGTGGATTGCTAATACCTGAAATGTTGCACTTGTCTGGAGTGGAAACTTTCTGGGGTGTTTGATGATTGATTATTTGGTACCTGCTTTCTAAAAATGGCAAAACACCTTTCCTTGGAACAAAAGTGAGAAATGCAAATCTTAATAACTCAAGGCAAAATTTTCGAAGTGTAAGCATAGTTATTATCCATTCCCACAAAGAAAAGCTTCCTCTTCCACAAATATTTGATAGCACAGAGCCCAGTAATTAAGAGAACAATCAAATAAACTCGGGGCTTTCATGGGGACTCTAAATTATCATCTGCCTCGAATTTATAAGCAGTGTAATCATTTGCTATTTGGATATAGCTCTGGATATGGCATTCTAAATGTGTATCCTTAAACAATTTTACTATGTTTTCTTAAGTATTTAATGAGAGAGACCAGGGATAATAATAACATTCAAACTGCTGGATCAATGTGGCTTCACCAACTGTGTGAAAAAATTCTCTGCACGTGTGCATGAAACACCTTTCCTATATGCCACCTTTCCTCACATTTCTTATATCATGCAAGCTTCATGTCAGACCCAGTAATAGGAACTCATAAGAATTTATCAATAATGGCACTACCCCTTGAACTATTAAGTATTATTTTTATTCTAAGGTATTCTTGGCATACATTAAATGGTTTACTTTCGTAGTACATATGTAGTTGCTTTTCACAATTAGCTATTACTATGTCAGACCCAGATCCTAATATAAGGTGCAAGAGGTGAATCAGGCCCAACTACAAAAAATCAATGGCCCCTTACTACCAATTATATGAAAATATGTAACATTGGAAAATAAATTGCCATTTACAGTGAACTGCCTGAGGTTTCAATCCATTTCTCCCACACTCAGTGAAAATAAGGCACAGAGTGAGTCTTTTTCCCCTGGGTCTCCAGCCATTGGGTGACAAACATGCTTGCAAGGCCTAACCCCACCAAGCAGAGTGGCTGCCAGCGCTCCGGATTTCCGATTCTACAGCTTTTTCAGTGTAACTGCTTCTGGGGCTTCCTACTGGCAGGAGAGGTGAGGCTGGGCAGAGCCAGAGAAGGGGCAAAGTTGCAAGCTGCCTGGTAAGATACTGATGAAACCTGAGTTACACCAACCTCTTCCCTTTTGCTCCACCAGGCAGCAGAACTTCCATTATGGTTATTGAAACCACATGCCCTTAAGACTACCTCCTGATCATCATATAGCAACGGCATAGCTGATCAAACACTTGCAGTGCGATGTTTGTTTGTGTTGGGCTTTAAAAAAAAAAAAAAATAGCCACGTTTGGGTGCCTGAATGGCTCAATGGGTTAAAGCCTCTGCCTTCGACTCAGGTTATGATCCCCAGGGTCCTGGGATCGAGCCCCACATTGGGCTCTCTGCTCAGCAGGGAGCCTGCTTTACCCTCTCTCTCTGCCTGCCTCTCTGCCTGCTTGAGATCTCTCTGTCAAATAAATAAAAAATCTAAAAAAAAAAAAAAAAATAGGCACGTTTGAGGTGGGACTGACACATTAAAGATCAGTGTTTCCATTCATCAAGCATTTACTATGTGCCGGACTCTTGGCCAAGGACTTCTTTTATGTACTTCTACTTCTCACCCCAAACGTGCAAGAAATGTTGCATCCCTGTTTTGCAGATGAAAAAACTAAAGCGCAGAGAGGTTAAATGACTTGCCTGAAATCATATGGCTTCTAAGCCGTTGTGTCACCCCAAGTGCTCCTGTTTTAAACCTGTGCTCTTCCACTTCACCTTGATGCCACTCACACGTGTATGAGAGCCAATTTTCAGCGAGAAATATTAATTCATTAAGTGGGTACATTTAAAATGCCAAATTTACACTATGTATAGTCCAGACATAAGCTACGTTGGTATTCTCATATTGGTCATTAGATACCTGAAATTTTCAAGAAAATCAAAATGTGCCATATATGGAATATAAACATATACTACATGTTACAAATAAAATGCATTTAGCAAGGTATATAAAAACATAAAATCATCTTATTATGTAGACTAGGCAATTCTATATTATATATGCATAAGTATATATTCATATGATCTATATTATAATAATGACTCAAGTTTTTGAATCCCTGTAACTTTACAGGCATGTTCAAAAGTGCTTTTCGTGCATGAAGTCACAACCACCTTATGAGGTGGTTTAATCCTCACAACCACCCCATGAGGTACATAATTTTATTATATTATTTTACAAATAAGGAAACTGAGTCACAGAGACGTTATATAACTTGTTGAAGCTTATACACTTAGCAGGTGAAGGAGCCTGAACTCAAACCAAAGTGTACACACACAATATATATGCGTATTCAAGTACGGATATATATTATATATGGCTCTCAAGATAAGGGGAAATTTTTAAGGCAAATCAGCTGAGATTTGTATCAGTCTATATTCCCATAATCTAGAAATATCCTTGATGGGAGAGGGCTTTATTTTTGTCCAATGTATTCAAGATCTTTAAAAATGTTTGAGGCAATCTTAATCCTCCTAACATTTAGAGATATTGAGGGGATGCTAATACATATTAGGAAGATACAGTATTTGACCCTAGCTGATTTGCACGAAGCTCATCTTGGATTTATTTGGTTATTTATGTTAAAAATAGCAAAGACAGGGTACTTGGGAATCCTATAGAAGATGAGAGGGATACTAATAAACATGAAAATCTGTGGCCTGAGAACTGGAGGGAAATGTGGGTGATACAAGAGACCTAAAATGTAACATCATTTTAATGGTTATTATCAAATTTTTAAAAATTAATGTAATTTATCAATACTCACTCCATTAATAAGAGTGTATTATAAAATGGTAATTTAAGTTTAGTGACTATGGACTGAAACACTGCAACTACTCAAAGGAACTTGAAGTATTGGATAAGGATCCCAAATAGGGACACCTGGGTGGCTCAGTGGGTTAAAGCCTCTGCCTTCAACTCAGGTCATGATCCCAGGGTCCTGGGATCGAGCCCCGCATCGGGCTCTCTGCTCAGCAGGGAGCCTGCCTCCTCCTCTCTCTCTGCCGGCTTCTCTGCCCTACTTGTGATCTCTATCTGTCAAACAAATAAATAAAATCTTTAAAAAAAAAA